AATTCATTCATTCATTAGTTNTTTTAAGAGATATTGTTGATGAAGTGGTGGATGGTACAGGAAAAAGATCGCTTATATGGGTGGTCTTTTCAATAAGCAGCAGTATTATAATTTATGCATGTTAATATGTCATAACAATAGTAAAATGTAGGTTCGTTCCCAAATGAGGAGCGCAGAGAGGAGAAGGTAAATGTTCCTTCCTACCATTCGAAGCACCTCGGAATGCGGAATAAAATCCAAAAACGGTGTGGGTGGCGAACAGCTGCTATATTACGCATTCCACTGATTGATTATGAGACATTTTTTTTAACATTACCATAGACAATTCTGGGCATGAGGACAGGAAAGAAATTTGCATAATCTGTTTGTGATCATCGTTGGAGGAAGTAGTTAAGAATGATTAATTTCATAATTAGTTTGAAAAAAAAATCCACACTAGAAGAATGCTAGGGAAGATAAGACTTCCAGCAGATCGCCAAAGATCAATATTAACTGTAAGTAGGATGACATGCAAATTATTAATTCAAAACATTTCAAATTCATTAAAGCTTGGAAAAATACAATTCAGATTGAAATTTGTACTAAACGAATTTTGAATTTCTGATATGACACCAGAAAATATCGATAGGTACCCCTGAGGACTGAAGTCACATTGTTGAATCTTTAGGTATTTATGTCAAGTAAATGTGGATATGACTGAAAATGTTATTTGTGTTGGATGGCACTTTAAAATGTTATTTAAAACTAGTTCCAAAATCCAGAATGGCTGTTAAGCAATGTTATAGCCAAGTTAAAATGTGGATCCATTACGTAATTCTCCACACTTAATGTTGATTCTCAACTAAATTTTTCCACTTTTCTATCATTGCCAACTTATCATTTCATTATTAAATCTTTCAAAACGATTGAGATTTAATGGTTCTGTTTCCAATCGTAGCTTATAGAGTGATTCATCTACGTTTTGTTTACTGGTAGTATCAGTAATACTGAGCATGTACTTAACTAACTGGTTAAAAAAGAGCAGTGATTAATCAGTAGAAATATTATTAGAAAGTATGCACTTTGAATAAATGCATGAAATTGTAGGGCCTAAAAAATAACCTTGTCAAGGACACCAATCAGTAAACCAGGCTCAAGTTTTCCTCTTGTCCACAACGAACTCGTATGATCATCATTTTGCCGAACTTCTACTAACCGTAAAAAATTCGCATCCAAGCTCATTTCGTGATAGTTCCTGCGAAACGATGAATTTATAATCAACAAAAAGAGATGAAACTTTATGGAATCGACATGACAAAGTCCAGAAAGTGTCAAACTGTATTCTTTTGGATTCTTTTAAATTCAGAAATCAGGAATACTTATATAGCATCGTGAAATCTAAAAAATTGCTTGTTTCCTACGGGTGACAACAAAACAAATGACAACAATGATTCATCGTAAAACTAAGAAATTTAAGTTCTCCAAGATTATGAACAAATCGGAAGTTAATAAATTTGATACGATTGAAATTGTGCAATGACAAAACGTTGGAATAAATTCATGTTAGATGGAACAACTCATGGTATCATTGGCCAGTTAATTTGAAAGTCAGATTGTAGTAGTGTATGGGGAAAAGTTCAAGGGTCAAGTTATGATTCCTCTTAGATAAAGAAGGCAAGGATCAAAGTGTACCAAAGCAAAAGTAGTAGCTTCTTAAAAAATTCACAACCAAGCTTTCATTTCAGAAGAAGAATTTCAACTATTGAAGATATGTGACCTGCAAAGATGACGTTAACTTTTCAGGACTTTGCATTTGTTCCACCTTAACATCGTAAATTAACATCACTTATGGTATACTGTAAGTGAGGTTATGACTGGGACGCGTTGCAGAGGAGCGAGAAATAGATAGACAATGATGATACGTGGGGAGAGGCGGTCACGACTGGCTGATGACGGCGCAGTTTTGTGAATGGACTGGATGAAGTAAGACTCATCCCATCCATCCATCCATCCATCCAGGGAGGCAGGCAGGCAAGCAGGCACGTAGGAGGAGGCGGAGGCGGAAGAGAGGAACAGTCACCCTACCTATCCATATCATCTGCCCAACTCCGCCCGCAGATAGGTGTTGTCATCATCGATGAAGGTCTATGAGGCTGCTTCTTCCTCACCTTCCACTACTATCCTCTGCTTCCTTGCGACAATCAGCGCATCCGGTAGATTACTTACTACTTCATCATTCCCTCCTTTCCTTCCTCTTTTCTTCTCATCCATCTATCTATGATTTCGTGTATATATATATATGTGTATGTGTGTGTGTGCATGCGTAGGTGGATGTATAGTGTATCTCTCATTTTTCTATCTATGGATTACGGTATTTGTGACGCTTAGAAATGCAAGTTGATGAAGGAGAAAACGATGTTGAAAAGTAATCCAAATAAGCTTAAGTAAAATGAAGTCTCCTTACAGCAATCAAATTACTTCCACTCCAACACTTTTTTTTTTTTTTTCAATTTTCTTACCTCTTATCATACCTTACTATACATCTGTACATCTTTCATGTGTCAGTTATGTTGAATTACGTTGACAGATATGTAGTGGTCAGTTGAGTGACTATTGAAATTCGATGATGAAATGTTTAGCGATTCAAACCAGGCAATGAAAATAGTCGATAGAGTTCACCTGTTGTGTAGAAGTGGGAAAGATTCAGCGTATATTCTTGTCGAAAGCCATCATTTTACTTCTCTACGTAACAATTTGTCTGATTTTTTCTTGCCATCATCAGGAAATATCCCTTCAGATCATTCTAAATGGGTAAATAGGAATTCTTCACTTACTCTCTTGTTTACCTTTTCAAGTGGTTAACCGAAAAGTTCATGAAAAAGATTTGACGATATTTTTTGAGCTCCAAATACTTTCTCGAAAAGTGCTTACCTTCCATGCTCTCTTACTGACAACTGGACTGACCTTCACATTAGCAGAGAAGGTTCCGACTTCCCTATGGGATAAACCAAATGAATCATGATTGAGAACACCTAGTCGAGATTAGTTTGATTGCTGTACTCACAATAAAATAGTGAATGTTGTGCGTGTATGTATGTGTGGATGTGTGGGTCTATATGTTGAGATAATTGACTTTAGAGGGTGGAGTAGGCTGATCACGCATGCATTGTTCATGGAGGATAGGGAGAATGATGATGTAATGAGTGGTGACTCCTAAAACAGTCCTCAGATTGAAGCTTAACCTTTGGTGAATTTGGTTAGCCAGAACCGGAGAGGAATTAGCCTGCTCTCCCATAATTGACCAAAAGCCAAAATGCTTTATGCCACATTGTATAGTACCTGCTGTCAGAGTGATGAATTTTTCATAAAACCATCAGCAACATCCCTCTCAGTACACAACGATTTATACATCTATTGCCCATCCTGAATTACTATTTGATGTCCCATCAAAATGCTAATTAACTATATCCTGACAATAAATTCAATTTACGAATCTTTTTCCATCTTTCCATTCCAGTCTTCATTCTCTATTTTTTCATTTTCACTTACTCCTTTTTACTTATTTAGTTTTGATATTTCTACTCCTGAAATTAATCTCATCCTTTAGGAGCTTGCAATCAATATGCTTTATGTAAAAGATTTTCTAGGTGAATATGGCGACCAAGCAACGTATAGTCTTATCTCAAAATCTATTCTTTGCTTAGAAATTTCTGAACACGAAAGGTAATGAAAGGTATTAACTGTAATGAGCAATTTGAGATATTTTCAAATGCGATTTTTGCTTCTATATGAAGTGAAGAAGATATGTGGTAACGATAATAATTATATAAAATAGAAAAAATGGATGAATTAATGAGTGAATTCATTCAACTAAAAAATAGTAAGATATTAATTATTGTAGAATTTTAATAGTAAAAAATCTCCTCAATAAAAAATCGTTGAAATGTTTTGCTGATGAGTTAATCTTTTTTTTCTTTTACTTCTTCAGAAAATCAAAGAACAGCTTCAATTCAGGAAATCAAAAAGGAAACAACAAAAAAACTGTGCAGTTTATCGGAGACTTATTGGAGATTCTCCATTTAGAACGAGCGACATTTCAGTCATCAAAGAGGTCAAAGTGTTTCGAGAAAATACTTTTATGCGAAATATTTTGTGCGAAACATATATATACTGTACATCAGAGTGCGATCCTCATCATTACTTCGTGTCATATATCCCATTCTTTCAAAAACAAATGTTCTGAAACGAATACCTCAATGAATGGTAAATCCTCAAGCTTCATACTTGTAGCTCATTTCTTGGAAGTAAAGAGAAAAACTAAAAAAAAAGAATTATAAATAAGCATATTTGTTATTCGATACTTAAATGTCAACATCGTCATCATCATCATTATCATTATCATCATCATCATCATCATCATCATCATCATCATCATCATCATCATCATCATCATCATCATCATCATCATCATCATCATCATCATCATCATCATCATCATCATCATCATCATCATCATCATCATCATCATCAT